GTATGGGCAAAATTCCTGTGGTCTAGGAGGCGGGTGAGGTGGTTGTAAACAGAGGAGAAAACTGGGAAAGTGCTTCAATGAAGAATAAAGTTTCCGTGAAAGACTCAGAATTTTTCCCGTTCTACTATACTACTGAGTGTGCCAAAATACAGAGACCCACCTTAACCCCTTCCTTGATAAAGATGCTTACTTCAGGTTGTTTTTTTAAAGAAAATTTAATTTGATAATGAATATAAAAAATACCCTAGGGTTTTCATTACGGGCAATTACTTGTTGCATCACTTCTGTTCTGTAAATAGTGGAATACCTAGTCTTCCTCCTGGTGCTTTTGAAACTCTGTGGGGACTACATGAAGCCTGGGGTAAGCCCAGAGTCCTTACCAAGGCTTCCAAGACCAGCATCTACTATCTCTTCCTTCCTCTTTAGCCTTAGCCCTTGACAGTCTCCATGCGGGAACACTATTCCATAGTCTCTCAGCCCTTGGTATTTTGTTACAAGCTTCTACTCTGCCTGGAATGTCCTTCCCCTTCCCAATTTACTTAACTCTCATCCTTTAAGGCTAAACCCTGCCATTATCTTTCTTCCCAAAGCCTTCTCTGTTCCCCAGACTGGCTTAGATGAATGACCCTCTTCTGTGCTCCCTATCCCCCTGTGCATATAGGTACTGACTATACTATATCAAAAAGCACTTCCTTTCTCCCTCTCTTCCCATTAGACTTGAAATTGCTTAAGATATGTTGCTATCCTCAGGCCTAGCATAGTGCCGGTCATAGGATAGGCACTCGGTAAAGGATTGTTAAATTGATGTTTGGATGGACATATAAACCAGCTTTTAGACCTTTGTTATTATGCCTATTCATTTCATAAACATTTGATAGGCATTAAAGGATGACTAATGTTAAGCACTGTGATCAGAGCTGTAAAGGATACAGAGATGAACACTACATGGACTGAGATGGGAGTTTATTGAAAGAGCAGACAGATTACATGCCCGCAAATAATAATAATCTGAAGTGCAAAGTGCCCAATGCCATAAAGGAGATATAAGTAAAGGACTATAGTGGCTTAGAAGAAGGAGCAAGTACTAAATTGAGGAAGAAGTGTTCATAGAGAAAGTAGCATTTGAGGTAGGATAGGTGCAAGTAGGACATGAATGAGCAAAGAGCCTCCAGTGTATCATGTGATTTATTTTGTCTGAAAAGAGTAAATCTTATGAAGGAATAATGAGCAGTGGGGAACAACTAGGAATGTAGGAAGTGGCCATATTGGAGAGGACCTTAAATGCCAGGCTGATGAGTTTGTATTTGATTCTTATCAGTTGGAGCGATCTCAGAAGCCCATGGAAGTTTTTGACCTGGGTGGAGAGATCCTTTAAGAGTCTGATAATGGTGTATTTTAGTATTTTCTTAGTAAATCATTAACTAATTAATTGCTAAGCTTATAATTACTTTTACTATAAACAATGTGGAAAAACTCCAAGGTCTGTGGCTCCTTGACCTTTTTGCACTAGTCTTTTCTCACTGGAAATCTAGATGAGGTAAAAAAAAAATCATATGACCCATTAGTTCTGAGAAATGAAAATTGAAATTGACAGAGGAAAGAAACACTAGCAAGACATAAATGGCTCATAAAAATGCATAGACATATAAAGTGTTTGCTTAGGAACCGTGTCCAAAATGTTGCCTTCAGCTGTCTGGAAAAATCCGGACACAGTGTATGAATTATATTGTTAACAATTATTCCTTTGGGGTAGTTTAGATCACTTCCAGTTAAAAATAACTATACTGTTCTAACCTCAGACTGTCTACTCTTACTCTCCCCTTTAAACAATGGGTACTGCATTGTCAGTTTGTTTTATAGTATGTTATATAACCAGAGCATCTGGTTTCTTGCTGCCTTAGGCCAGGCATTCACCATTTCATGCCTGGATTTTTACAACTTTTTCATTATTCTCTCTGTCTCCAGTGCCTCAAATCTAGCTATATGACCTTGGGCAAGTCATGTAACCTCTCTGATATTCTGTTCTCTTAACTCTAAAATGGAAGTAATGATTCTTGCCCTGCCTATCTCAAGGAGCTGTCTTGAGGATCATGTGAAAGCACTTGAAAACTGTCAGTGGCTTTACTAAGACTTGGACTCTACAGATTGGTTTTATACCCTGTACTATCTAGTCCCAAGCCACCTCTCTAATCTCATTTCTCAACATTCTCTAGGATCTACTCCTCCTCTCAGACACACACAAACTTATGGTGTTCTCCTCATCTGTAGTATTCTCCCTCTTATCTCTGCTCATCCAAATCTAAACAATAATTTAAGGGCCAGTTCAAATTCTACATCCTCTTTGAAATCTTCCCTGATGACTCCAATGCTCATCGGTTTCCACCTTTGCTGAATTTTGACAGCATTTAGTTATTATCAGTGTTTGCTTATTTGTTGCTTTTTATTATGAGCTCTTTATTCACCCAAGGCTCATTTCTTTACCCAGGTTATGATTTTATGATGCTTTAGTTTGTTCATTTAACATTTAGTGAATGTTTGAGGATGTTTCCTCTATTCCTCATAGGACCAAGTGTAGAACTTAGAAATAATAGTTGGCTCATTTATTTAGAAATTTATATACACACTCTCTTAAGAGAGAGACAAGAGAACCCATCTTCTCTTCCTAGTGCTTGGAGTACCCCTCCTAACAATTTCCACCTCCTACAGAACCATAGGAAGGCCTTTAAGATGGGACTGTCAATAGAAGTTTCTGTGATTATAGATCTCTTTTATAGCTGTGCTATCTAATATACTAGTAGTAGTCATTAGCCACATATGGCGATTCAGTGCTTGAAATGTGGCTAGTGCAACTGAGTAACTGAATTTTTATTTAATTTTAATGTAAATAGCTGCCTGTGGCTAGTGACTACTGCATTGGACAGTGTGGGTCTAGATCAGTGGCTTTCCAACTTTTTTGATCTAACAATATAATGAGAAATACATTTTATATTGCAACCCAGTTTATATATACACAAATTTCATGAAATAATACTCATACTATTATGTATTAAATATACTATTATATTTTCTGTTCTATTTAATTTCATTTAAAAATTCTGTTTGCAATCCACTATAGATTTCATAGACCATTGATGAATTATGGTTTTCTCATTGAAAAACACACTGCACATTTTATAGGTGGAGAATCTGAGGCCCCAAGAAGTACAGTAGGTTCTGCAAGGTCACATAGATAGTTTTAGAATGGAACTAAAAATTAGGGTTCATAGGCTAGAGATATTTCTAAGAGGGGTGAAGAGTGATTCTTCCTTCTGTTAGCCATGCCCCCCAATTTTATTTTGATGTTGGACAAAAATCATTTGACACACTCTTTATTTTGACTAAATACTACATGGTGTCTTGCTTCCTGCATGAATCATGAGTTCTGTATTTGAGTATTGGTGCATTTGGGTTTGAAAAATGCCCAAAATCAAAGTTACAATATAATGGATGCTTACTTTGGACCCACTACATGACTTGACAGGGACACTAATATGAAACTACCTCCTGGGGAATAAAACCAGGCTTTCCACTAGCAGGTTGATCCTTAAGGACAACAAAACCTATTGATTAAGAATCAAGGTGATTCTCATCTCAGTTTGTACAATAGTTGCCTTGAGTCTTGAATTGTAAAACCAAGCAAGTAATTTTTTCTCCATCCTCCCATTCAATATGCTACCTTATTTGTATGCCTTATCAACAAAGAGAACCTTTACAGAAGTAGTATCTTTTAATTCTTCTGAAAAATGCATTACTCCAAAAAGAGCAGTTACCCTATCAAAAGAAAAAGAGGCAACAATTTAGAATACAGTGGTCTTCATGTTAGGTGCATTCCTGACCAGTTTGTGAATGGAATCCCTTTTCCTTATGGATGTATCCAAATGCATTTCAGTCAGCAGATAGGAGGCAATAACTTGTCCTTAAATGAAAATAACAAAAATATACGCTAAGATCTGGAAACAGCCAAAGTGCCCATCAGCAGATGGATGGATTAAAAAACTCTGTGGTACATTTACAGAATGGAATACTATGCAGCTGTAAAAAGGAAGGATCTATTATACTTTGAGACTGCATGGAGGGACCTGGAGATTATTATGCTAAGTGAAATAAGCCAATCATACAAAGACAAATGTCGTATGATCTCATTTATATGTGGAATCTAATGAACATAATAAACTGATTAATAAAATAGAACCAGAGGCATAGAAACATGGAACAGACTGATGAATTTCAGAGAGCAGGGGAGAGGGGGGTGGGAAGAGATTAACCAAAGAACTTATATGCATATATTTAATGCCCATGAACTCAGACAATAGGGTGGTGAAGGCCTGGGGTGGAGCGGGAACCGGGTGTTGGGGATCAAAGGGGAAAAAAGACATCTGTAATACTCTCAACAATAAGTATTTTTTAAAAGGCAATAAACTTTTCAAAAGCATCATTTTAAGGGAAAATTTAAAAAGTCCAATTTTGTATTACATTTGATTCTTACCACCATGGTCAGTAGCATGAATTGACCGAAGTCTCTAAGAAATGTTGTATTTTGTGGTGTCAAGTTGAAAACCAAAGGGCCTTATCACTTAATAATTGTTGCTTGACAAAAGGACTGGTTATCCCTTTGCTGACTTGCCCGGCAATTTTTCAGGTGCATGCAGCCTCCTGTGCTCCACCACCACCAGTACTAGACAGTTAAATAGAATCTCATAAAGTCTAGTTGAAAGCTAACCCTTTGGTTAAGATTTTCAGGTAAGTCAGAAAATGATAATGTTTTCTTAGGGTATCAGAGTATATACTGGTCTACAGAGAAATCATTCATGTATTTTGCATTATATGACAACTTGGCCTTGTTAAAGTGTGACTTGCTAAATACATTCAAGAAAATGTGCAGTTTTGGACATGATAATACTCCTTGGAAAGCTAAGAATTATTGTCCCATCTCTCTTTTTTAAGTTCTTGGTTTTCAGAAAAGCATGGCACTGGTAGGAAGAGACATGAAGATGGACAGGGCCTGTGCGCAGGCGAGCAGAGGCTGGGAAGACCAGGACACTAAGTGGACCCAGGAGTAAGGGGGTGAAGTCACATTTTAGGCTGAACTTTGTTCTTCTGGATTCCTCTTGCCTTTTTAGCCTCTGCTAATCAACCTACCATCTACCATGCCCCTCTTCACAATCCCTGTGCTGGTTGATTTCTTCACATTTTTTTTTAAACCTCTCCTTCCTTTGTTGACCACGTCCAGGAGTCCAACATGTTCTGGGTAGACCTAGCTTATTATCTCCCTACCCCACACTATATTTTTCTGCTACCATCTCATCACCCACACTTGAAAACTTCAAGTCATTTTTGACTCTCATTCTCCTTGGCCCCACCCCACAATCAGTTGCTTGCCAAATCTTTTTGGTGTTTCCTCAACCAGGAATTTCCTCCCTTCCCCCTTCCCACCTTTGACTTATTTTCATTAAGGCTCAGCTCTGATGTCACCTTTTCTAGGTTAGAGAACAAATGATTCATCCCCAGTTGGAATGAATCATTTGTTGCCTTCTACTAGTATATCACTTAAAAAATATTACTTATGTTACCGAATGGGGTTTGTCTCTTGGTGATCATAACCTAATGAATCAAGACCAAGACAGAATATGAGTAAGGAAAGTTTATTTGCAGCAAGTAAGGAGAGCACTGGGGATGATTCCCAGAGCTGTGTCTCCAAATACACAAGGGTAATTTCTTTTATTGGGACTAGTTATGCTATATTCATTAAAAAGAGACAGGTCATTATATGCAGAGGCTAGGTCATTCTAACATAGGTGCAGTAAGGGAGCATGCTTTATCTTTTATCACATGTATAGAAAATGGTAGGTAAGTTCTGCTTGGGGAGGGGAATTTAGTATTATGATTAAGCAGGATCAGTATTCCTTTTAGGCATCCTTATCTGGTTTTAATAGGAAAAGGGTGTTATTGTTTTGTGGTCAGTCAGGGAACATCCCTTTCCTGCAAGACAGCTCAGCAAAGATTGTTAGTTTCACAATTGAGCAACCCTTTTAACCCCATTCTGCTTACACTTATTTGTTTATTAGAGAAGAATGAAGAAGAATACAAACTATAGTGACTTTCTTGCTGGCGTGAGAGGGGCTGAAGATCAAGAGAAAAATTCTTTGACTACCATTTTGGTCAGAGACATCTCAAAGGAAGCAGCATAGTTCTCACAGGCTTTAAGGGGTAGTATTAATTTGACAAGATGGCTGGGTAGTGACTCATTGAGACAGGGTTGGTGATAGAGAAATACTTTTATTTTTTCAGCCAGTACTAAAAAAAGACCCAAGGCTTATATGCATAAATGTTGTACATTCATCCAATGCCACCCTTCCTCACCCCAACCAGGGGAATGCCAGAGAGGCTGCCTCTTTCTCACACTCCTCTCAAGCTACTTCTTTTCTGATTTTCTTTCTCTTTCTAAGCTATACTGGGCATTCATTTTAACCTGATTTCTCCTGCCTGTGAAGGGTAGAGAGTAGGGTGGGAAGGTACACAGTGTGATTTTATGCCACCTCAGTCCCCCACCTCCTGGGGATGGTCTGACCTGGGTGATCATTTTTAGCCTGGTATTTCTTGGACATGGCCCAGGGGCTAAGGCCAGTGACAGAAAGGCTAAGATAGCACTGGCTCTCTGGCAGATTCAGCAGTGATGAGTTTACACTGGTGAACAAAATGGTTTTCTCATTTCTAACTTCTTCAGGTTTGAAATTCTGCCAAGACTATACCCTTAATAATGAAAACATCTTGAGGAGAAAGGCTGCTTAAATCCCTGAAAAATTGGATTTCTGTAATATGTTTCAAGAAAGGCAGTATCCCTGGGTAGATGTGTTTCTAAAGTTGTAATTTCAGATTATAGCTTCAACTTGTACAAATTATGCAAAATGTAACTTCAACATCCAACTAAGTGTTTTGAGCAGGTGAACCTGTTTTCATGACCAGATATGACTCATTTATTTTTGGGAACATTTATTTCTGTGAAAGCAGTATGCTCCTGACTTAGAAAACAAAGCCAAACAAAACAAAACAAAACAATTTGTTCTTTCAAGTGAGTTAAACATATCCGACAATGCCATTTTTACAGGAACCCGTTCACATGAGGCTTTTAGGGACTGCTTTGGGAGAGACCCTGCAGCTACTTGTAGCTGCACAGAAGGACCCCTACCTTCTCTGAGCTCCTCTTTCTTAGGGGATGGGGAAACTCCAAGAATTGAGAGGAGAAGGTATGTGCTAGGTGTCTTAGCATTGAACTTGATGTATTGTTCTCATAGAAATAACCATACACTATAAAATATACTATCAATTTGATTTTTCTGGTTATAGTTTAAAATAGGTTTTTGGGGGCTGGCTTGGAAACCTATTTACTGTCTGCAATATTATTTCCCTCAGAAAATTTACTTAAAGAGAACTTTTAAAATTCTTTATTGTTTAAATTATTACATATAGTATTACATATGTCTCCTTTCCCC